AGCTCGTGGAAGCCAGTTTGAGCCCTGGGTTAATAATGCAGAGCATGAAGAATCAAGGAGCACACCCAGCTCCCAAGAGAGGTCAAGAGTCTTTTGAAAGGTGTTACACTGCTGAATCTTTCCAGGACAAGAGAAGCCACTGGCCACGTAGGCTGGGTATTCTGGGACAGTGGCCCCGTCTTTGACAAAGAGAGGGAAGAAGGGCTTCCCACGGGCCGCTGCCAAGCTGCCTGCCCTCGGGGTCCTTTTCTGGGCCTAGCCTTGGCTCTGTTTTGTTCTGTTGTTATCAGCCGGACTTCAGGCCAAAGGGCTTGCCAAGCCTCCCTCCACTGAGAACAGCAAGAACAAAAATCTCCTATCCAGACTTTATCCTGGTATTTAGTTCCTGTCATTCTACAGACATCTGCAGAGATGTGAGCATCCAAGATGCGCAGAAGAAATGGAGGCTAGGTTTGCACAACCTTTTGGCTTCAGAAGTCTTGACGCAATAAATTGCAGCGTGTAGGTAGCCAAATTTGTGTGCTGCGTTTTCATCCAAGAATCATGGCTGAATAAACCAAGTCCAGGTCAGGTTTATTCATTTTCTCATTTCCACTAGCAGGTAAAGCACCCCAAGCAGGAAAGCCTTATCATGACCTCCCGATTTCGGATTTGGGTTTGTACAAACAAACCAAGATTCGTAAGAAAACTTTAAACCAGGTTTGTTTGTTCTGTTGGTTATATATCATTTACCTCCAGAGAGCTCAAGGCAGCACAACTAGCCCTTTTTTCCTCCTTTATCCTCACAACAACCCCGAGGCCTCCAGGCATTGTAGACCAACTCCTAGAAGCTACAGCTGCTATAAGCAGTGATCATCTGGGTTAAAGGCTGTAACGATTACAGGCAGAGGTGTCCTCTTGCCCAGGAGTTTTCTGTTTAGCCTGAGCAATGGCCTGCCTCCTGGACTATCGGTGGTCTCCTCGGCCGCCTCCTTTGGGTCTGAAGCCTGCCGTTTCCTGACCTCCTTTCTCTCTCCTCCTTCCTCTGCCCCTCAACAGCACGGCCCCCCAGAGAGTCCCCGTCGCCTCCCCCTCAGCCCACAATATCAGCAGCGCCCTCCCGGAGCGCACCAACTTCCCGCGGGGCGTCTCCAGCCGCAGCACCTTCCACGCCGGGCAGCTCCGGCAGGTCCGGGACCAGCAGAACCTCCCTTACGGCCTCACGCCAGCTTCACCTTCCGGGAACAGCCAAGGCGGCAGGAGGGGCGCCTCGGGGAGCATCTTCAGCAAGTTCACCTCCAAGTTTGTGCGCAGGTGAGCGGGGAAGGCCAAGTGACCGGGGGGGCGCGGGGAGAGAGACACACATCCGGGCAGGGCTGCGGTTGGGCGCGGGTGCAGCAGGGGAGAGGGGTACCGCCACCCAAACGTTTTCCGGAGCTGCAGCCAGCCTCCGTTGCTCTCCGACTTAAAATGGCAAGATGGCTTCTGTGTATTGTGCAGTCCAGTGGGCGAGGGAAGTAAATGCAGGCCACCGCCACCCCCTTCCAGCAGGACACAACATGCATGCTCACTAGTGCGTATGCCCGTGTGTTGCACAACTGCCCCCCCGTGGGTGCACTGTTTCCCCCTCCACCAGCAGTGACATCCTCATAACCACAGCCCGCTTGTCTCTTCCTTCCCCGTCCCCTGCTGCCTATTTTGCCATAAAGACAGGCCCTTCACAGTCTCCCGGGATCTTCTTAAGGACACACACACACACACACACCAATCTAAGGAGACAAGGTGTGCTCACCCGGCAAGCTTACGGCCTGGCTACTAAGCTTGAGGCGTGAGGGTTGTGTTTGGGCCAATTGGAAGAGTCTCTCCAGTGGATTTGGTAGCCAGCGCTTACTTGGAGGATGGTGGGCCAAATAGATTCCCCGAGGCTGGAACCTGGCATGGAAAGCGAGCCTTTCGCCAGATGGGAAAAGCTTGGGAAACAGTGGCCGGGCTCAAGGCTCTCTCGGTGGGAAGAGAGACGCCCTCAGGCAGCCCCAGAACCCTAGGTCTGGCGCGGGTTATGACTTAGAAGTGGGAGACACTGGGCCAGGTTTAGACTAGAGATTTAGCTGCCGATCAGCAATTAGAAACCAGCTGCCAGTCAATAATTCCAGAATCCTGCCCAGAAGCCCCAAAAGAAAGGATTCCTGGAAAGGGAACTCACCCTCTTTCCCTTGTGAGAACTAGTTTGTGGTTTTTTTTCCCCCTTTAGTGGGAGAGGATATCTGAGAGCCAGCCAGAACCGCAAAGGCTGGGCCCCCTCGTTGGTGACACCTCTAAAAACCGCACCATGCCCTGGCACATCCACACCCATCCCACGGCCCAGAGGAGGGCCCTGCTCACCCTAGGGTGCTCGGCCTTTGGTGGGGGCTGCCGGGAAAGCGCTGCGGCCTCTGTAGATGCGAAGCTGTGGGGCGTGTGGTTTTCCTGGGCCCCCCTGGGCATTGTAGTTGCCTAGGAATCCCCAGTGCAATCTACACCTCCAAGGAAGGGGGACACCAAGGCTTGGGCGTCCATTCCTTGTGGCTGCTGATGCTCCACCACCTGATTCCGCTGCCCTGTTTCCTCCGTCAGTCCCATAGGCTGCTCTGGCCCTGTAGGTTGAGGAGGGGGGCAGGACAGGGCAACCCGTGGAGGGATGTGGGCACAAATTTGGGGACCAAAACCTATCGCTCGTCTTCTGGGAACCTGGCCGAACAGCGGGCACGTTTAGACTCTTTCCTGAGAGGCCTCCTGAGCCCAGTGGGAACAGCGGATGCGCCAGAGGAACAGGCCTCTGGGATCCTTTTAAGACGCCCGTAAAACGCCAGCAGATCTTCTCCGGGGATCCGACCAGGAAAACCGCGGGCCCCTGGGAGCAAGAAGCCACCTGCCCCCCCTCAAGGCAGCTTTGTGTGCGCGCACGTTTGTGTATGTCAGTCCTCTCCAACCAGGAGCTGTCCAGGTGTGCTGGATAACAACTTCCAGCCCCCCCCCCCCCGCCAGCCACTTGGCTGGGGAAACACTGGAATGCTGGGAGTTGTAGTCCAGCCCATCCAGAGGGCCTCAGGTTGGAGAAGGCTGGTGTCTGTTAATATCCCCTTCCGGATGGCTT